AAAGGAGTGGCTCAAGAAGAAGCACATTAAGGTCCTGGAGTGGCCTAGCCAGTCTCCAGACCTTAATCCCATAGAAAATCTGTGGAGGGAGCTGAAGGTTCGAGTTGCCAAACGTCAGCCTCGAAACCTTAATGACTTGGAGAAGATCTGCAAAGAGGAGTGGGACAAAATCCCTCCTGAGATGTGTGCAAACCTGGTGGTCAACTACAAGAAACGTCTGACCTCTGTGATTGCCAACAAGGGTTTTGCCACCAAGTACTAAGTCAGGTTTTGCAGAGGGGTCAAATACTTATTTCGCTCATTAAAATGCACATCAATTCATAACATTTTTGATATGCGTTTTTCTGGATTTTGTTGTTGTTATTCTGTCTCTCACTGTTCAAATAAACCTACCATTAAAATTATAGACTGATCATTTCTTTGTCAGTGGGCAAACATACAAAATCAGCAGGGGATCAAATACTTTTTTCCCTCACTGTACGTCTACCACTATGTTTAGCCAACTGTACAAAGTTTCTACTGGTAACTTGCAAAGTATACACTATCAGCTAACAGTACATTGACAAATGCGCCCTTCTGCTGGTTGACAGGCACAAAGGATGGGAAATTAACCCCCAAAAAACATTAATACTGGTATAGTTCACTTTTAATTAATTAATATATTTTATATATGCTATCGCAAAAATACTCATTTGGTTGTGTTTATGAAGGCCTTGGGTAACATTAGAATACAATTGTAATTTATATATATATATATATATATATATATATATATATATATATATATATATATTTATAAAACTGTTGATATACGGAAGTTTACATATACCTTAGCCAAGTACATTTGAACTCAGTTTTTCACAATTCCTGACATTTAATCATAATAAGAATTCCCTGTCTTAGGTCAGTTAGGATCAACACTGTTATTTAAGAATGTGAAATGTCAGAATAATAGTAGAGAGAATGATTTATTTCAGCTTTTACTTCTTTCATCACATTCCCAGTGGGTCAGAAGTTTACATACAATCAATTAGTATTTGGTAGCATTGCCTTTAAATTTAAATTGTTTAACTTGAGTCAAACGTTTCAGGGAGCCTTCCACAAGCTGGTGTAACTGAGTCAGGTTAGTAGGCCTCCTTGCTCGCACACGCCTTTTCAGTTCTGCCCATACAAACGTTTTCAGTTTTCCAAGCTGTTTAAAGGCACAGTCAACTTAGGGTATGTCAACTTCTAACCCACTGGAATTGTGATTCAGTGAATTATGAGTGAAATAATCTGTCTGTAAACAATTGTTGGAAAAATTAATTGTTTCATGCACAAAGTAGATGTCCTAACCGACTTGCCAAAACTATAGTTTTGTTAAAAAGAAATTTGTGGAGTGGTTGAAAAACGAGTATTAATGACTCCAACCTAAGTGTATGTAAACTTCCAAATTAAACAAACGCCATGACACGGGACTACTGTAATAATGTCTCAGGGATATGCAAAAAACAAATGTCCAATTCACATACATACACTTGTACATGTGTGAAATAGCACCCACCTAATTATTATTATTTACTATTAAATGTGTAGTTCTGACTACTGCTCGTCAAGAGGTGAAATTATTAATTAAAATTATTACAACCAAATACAGTGGCTTGCGAAATTATTCACCCCCCCCATGGCATTTTTCCTATTTTGTTGCCTTACAACCTGGAATTAAAACAGATTTTTGGGGGGGTTTGTATCATTTGATTTACACAACATGCCTACCACATTGAAGACGCAAAATATTTTTATTTAGAAAGAAAGAAACAAGAAATAAGACAACAAAAAAAACAGAAAACTAGAGCGTGCATAAATACTTTGTAGAGCCACCTTTTGCAGCAATTACAGCTGCAAGTCTCTTGGGGTTTTTCTCTATAAGCTTGGCACATCTAACCACTGGGATTTTTGCCCCTTCTTCAAGGCAAAACTGCTCCAGCTCCGTCAAGTTGGATGGGTTCCGCTGGTGTACAGCAATCTTTAAGTCATACCACAGATTCTCAATTGGATTGAGGTCTGAGCTTTGACTAGGCCATTTCAAGACATTTCAATGTTTCCCCTTAAACCACTCGAGTGTTGCTTTAGCAGTATGCTTAGGGTCATTGTCCTGCTGGAAGGTGAACCTCCGTCCCAGTCTCAAATCTCTGGAAGACTGAAACAGGTTTCCCTCAAGAATTTCCCTGTATTTAGCGCCATCCATCATTCCTTCAATTCTGACCAGTTTGCCAGTCCCTGCCAATTAAAAACATCTCCACAACATGATGCTGCCACCACCATGCTTCACTGTGGGGATGGTGTTCTCTACGTGATGAGAGGTGTTGGGTTTGCGCCAGACATAGCATTTTCCTTGATGTCCAAAAAGCTCAATTTTAGTCTCATCTGACCAGAGTACCTTCTTCCATATGTTTGGGGAGTCTCCCACATGCCTTTGGCGAACACCAAACGTGTTTGCTTATTTTTTTCTTTAAGCAATGGCTTTTTTCTGGCCACTCTTCCGAAAAGCCCAGCTCTGTGGAGTGTACAGCTTAAAGTGGTCCTATGGACAGATACTCCAATCTCCGCTGTGGAGCTTTGCAGCTCCTTCAGGGTTATCTTTGGTCTCTTTGTTGCCTCTGATTAATGCCCTCCTTGCCTGGTCCGTGAGTTTTGGTGGGAGGCCCTCTCTTGGCAGGTTTATTGTGGTACCTTATTCTTTCCATTTTTTAATAATGGATTTAATGCTGTGCCGTGGGATGTTCAAAGTTTCTGATATTTTTTTATAACCCAACCCTGATCTGTACTTCTCCACAACTTTGTCCCTGACCTGTTTGGAGAGCTCCTTGGTCTTCATGGTGCCGCTTGCTTGGTGGAGCCCCTTGCTTAGTGGTGTTGCAGACTCTGGGGCCTTTCAGAACAGGTGTATATATACTGAGATCATGTGACAGATCATATGACACTTAGATTGCACACAGGTGGACTTTATTTAACTAATTATGTGACTTTTGAAGGTAATTGTTTGCACCAGATATATTTAGGGGCTTCAAAGCAAAGGGGGTGAATACATATGCACCTTTCTGTTATTAATTTTTTTCATTCCACTTTTGACTATTTTGTGTATGTTCATGACATGAAATACAAAAACAAAATACAAAAAAAATTAAGTACAGGTTGTGATGCAACAAAATAGGAAAAACGCCAAGGGGGATGAATACTTCTGCAAGGCACTGTATATAGACAGGTGTGTGCCTTTCCAAATCATGTCAAATCAATTGAATTTACCACAGTTGGACTCCGATCAAGTTGTAGAAACTTGAAACAAGGATGATCAATGGAAACATTATACACCTGAGCTCAATTTTGAGTCTCATAGCAAAGGGTCTGAATACTTATGTAAATATGGTGTTTCTGTTTTATATTTTTAATACATTTGCAAAAATCTACACACAATACCCCATAATTTCGTTTGTTTCCCACGGGGGGGCCAGGGGGGCCAGTATGAAAATGTATGCACTCACTTAACTGTAAGTAATATGCCATTTAGCAGACACTTTTATCCAAAGCGACTTACAGTCATGCGTGCATACATTTTTTTTGTGTATGGGTGGTCCCGGGGATCAAACCCACTACCCTGGCGTTACAAGCACCGTGCTCTTCCAGCTGAGCTACAGAGGACCACTGGATAAGAGCGTCTGCTAAATGACTAAAAGAGCATCTGCTAAATGACTAAAATGTTATGTAAATGTAATAATGACAAAGTGAAAACATGTTTTTAGAAATGTGTGTAAATGTATTGAAAAGGAAATACAGAAATCATGAGTCAATCCAAATCTGTTTTTGCTTTTTCATTATGAGATATTGTGTGTAGATTGATGAGGATTTTTATTAATTTAATCCATTTTAGAATAAGGCTGTAACGTAACAAAATGTGGAAAAAGTAAAGGGGCCTGAATACTTTCCGAGTGCAATGTATTGACATTTAATCCCTGGTATAACCAAGAGCACAGGCCAGTCTGAGTAGGTCACGTCGCAGTGCCAGAGAGGGAAACCGGCTTCCCATCAGGCGTGCGTGCAGCTTCACAGCAAAGAAAACGCTCGTCTCAAATGTTTAATAAAATATGACCCTTTCAACCGAAGCTACCTTTTATTCTCCCTGCATGATTTCGCATTTTATATAATTTTTTTTTTTTATGTCACGGTCCGTTTTAAACTAAACCCAGGTCACTAATTATTGCTTTGATAACAAACAACATTGTTCAGTCATGTTACCGAGCGAGCTAACATCCTGCTAACCTGGCAGTAAGACCTTCTGATTGGCCCAGGAAGAAAAGAGAAAGGAAAAGTGTGTCCTACTCATCAGAGATGGATTCCTACAGGGATAATGGAAGATGACACTACACCAAACACCCATCTCTTTCATACAGGGATAATGGAAGATGATACTACACCAAACACCCATCTCTTTCATACAGGGATAATGGAAGATGACACTACAACCAAACACCCATCTCTTTCATACAGGGATAATGGAAGATGACACTACACCAAACACCCATCTCTTTCATACAGGGATAATGGAAGATGACACTACACCAAACACCCATCTCTTTCATACAGGGATAATGGAAGATGACACTACACCAAACACCCATCTCTTTCATACAGGGATAATGGAAGATGACACTACACCAAACACCCATCTCTTTCATACAGGGATAATGGAAGATGACACTACACCAAACACCCATCTCTTTATGGTGCTCCTCACATTCTGTTTGGTGCCAAACGTTTTTATAAGGACCTGTGTTTTGTAGAGAGAGGGAGGGAGAGAGAGTCTGTGAGGGAGGGAGAGTGTGTGAGGGAGGGAGGGAGAGTGTGTGAGGGAGGAGAATGTGTGAGGGAGGGAGAGTCTGTGAGGGAGGGAGAGTGTGTGAGGAAGGAGAATGTGTGAGGGAGGAGAGAGTGTGTGAGGGAGGGAGAGTGTGTGAGGGAGGAGAATGTGTGAGGGGGGAGAGTCTGTGAGGGAGGGAGAGTGTGTGAGGAAGGAGAATGTGTGAGGGAGGAGAGTGTGTGAGGGAGGGAGCGTGTGTGAGGGAGGAGAATGTGTGAGGAGGGAGAGTCTGTGAGGGAGGGAGAGGTGTGAGAAGGAGAAGTGTGAGGGAGAGAGAGTGTGTGAGGGAGGGAGAGTCTGTGAGGGAGGAAGGGAGAGTCTGTGAGGGAGGGAGAGTGTGTGAGGGAGGGAGAGTGTGTGAGGGATGGAGAGTGTGTGAGGGAGGGAGAGTCTGTGAGGGAGGGAGGGAGAGTGTGTGAGGAAGGGAGAGTGTGTGAGGGAGGGAGAGTGTGGGAAGGGAGGTGTGTGAGGGAGGGAGAGTGTGTGAGGGAGGGAGAGTGTGTGAGGGATGGATAGTGTGTGAGGGATGGATAGTGTGTGAGGGATGGAGAGTCTGTGAGGGATGGAGAGTGTGTGAGGGATGGATAGTCTGTTAGTCTCTGTGTTAATTGAAGAGTATAGATTTCATGCAGGGTTTCTCACTTACTGCCACAATGACATGCAGGTCATTATTCCTTCCTCCCTCCTCCAGCCAATCACAGGTCATTATTCATGGATATTCCTTCCTCCCTCCTCCAGCCAAGTCAGTGTGAAGTTAATTCAATAGGTGTTGTATTCAGTAGAAGTGTGAATATCAGTGACAGGTTTTTTGTGTAGCACATGCACATAACATTTAGAAAAGGGGAACAAGCGTAGGGGAACGGGGCGAACAGGACACTAGGCCACTGAATTGTTCCCCCGTGGTGTCGTGATACTACTCGGTATCGTGATACTTGCCCTGGTATCGTATCGTTAGTAAAATATTGTAATCGTGACAACGCTACCTCACAATATGAAATAGACATGTACGCTTACCATTCCTGTTTCTAACGTGTCTCTCTCTTTCTTCTCTGTCTAACCTGTGTCTCTCTTCTCTCTCCCCCCAGCGGATGATGGTTGTGGGGGTACGTTGCGAGGCCAGAGTGGTGTGATCACCAGCCCCAACTACCCAGGGGAGTACAGCAACAACGCAGACTGTACCTGGACCGTCCTGGCTGAGCCTGGAGACACCATCGCCCTGGTCTTCTCTGACTTCACACTGGAGGACGACTATGACCTGCTGGAGGTCAGCGGCACGGACGGGTCCTCCCAGTGGTGAGTACCCAACCGAAGGGGACATTTTATGGAGAGGGGACGGGGAGAGGGTTGGGTATGGTGGTTGATGGTTGGTAAACTGCTGGAGGTAGGCATGCTGAGGGGCACTGGAAGTGGTGGATACCCAGTTTCTATGTGGGGGAGGGATTGGGAGAGCTGGTTGGTTGGTTGGTCAACTGGTGCTGGTTGGTTGGTTGGTCAACTGCTGGAGGTCAGCAGTGCAGAAAGGTCATCCCAGTGGTGAGTACCCAGCCCAGGGGGACGTCTTGTGTGGAGCAGACGGGGAGAGGGTGGGGCTTGGTGCTGGTTAAAATATTTACTATGCTATGACCTGCAGGAAATCAGCATGTCCTGTCTCTGGCTTTATTTAGCTTCGGGTGTGTGTGTGTATGTGTGTGTATGTATGTGTGTGTGTGTGTGTGTGTGTGTGTGTGTGTGTGTGTGTGTGTGTGTGTGTGTGTGTGTGTGTGTGTGTGTTTGTGTGTATGTGTGTGTGTGTGTGTGTGTTTGTGTGTGTGTGTGTGTGTGTGTGTGTGTGTTTGTGTGTGTGTGTGCGCGTGCGCACGCGTGTGTGTCTGTGTGTGTCTGTGTGTGTGTGTGTGTGTGTGTGTGTGTGTGTGTGTGTGTGTCTCTGTGTGTGTGTGTGTGTGTGTGTGTGTGACCGTCACTCTGACAGCTGTCTTTGCTCTGGATGTAATTAATGAATGTGATTCAAGCATTCAAGATGATGGTGCCGACAGACTCCCTGTTCCCAGCTTCCTACATTTCACTGCCCCTTTTATACCTTTTATAAACTGTTGTTCGTGACAAATTGCATTTGATTATGATTACCTCCACGGGGCTCACTTAGAGTACTGTTGCCCACACACACACACACACACACACACACACACACACACACACACACACACAATCATGGCTAAACATCACCTATTTCTACAATTTTTCTTCTTAAAATCTGATTTTAAACCTAATACTAACCTTAAACCTAACATTAACCACACTGCTTAACCCTTAAATTAAGACCAAAAAGGGAATTCTTGTTTTTATGCATTTTTAAGGTACAGCCAATGTTGACTTTGTTGCTGTGGTAACTAGTGACAAACTGGCGACAAGGGACTATGACAGGTCTAAAGCTGTGTTCACCTGCTAGTCGGAACTAGGAAACTCTGAAATATCCAACTCATACATGTGCTGCATTCAATCAGTTAGCAAAGTTGGACATTTCTGAGTTTCCTAGTTCCGACTGGCACGTGAATGCGGTGTACGTCAAGTTGAGGGAACAGGCATTTGGCTGTTACTGTTCTATTGTTTCAGCTAGACCGGTCCAGGGAACTGTCTGCTCATCTTGCCAACGTAGACGCCCTAGAGACGCCGGGTGCTCTCACTGGACTACAGGAGTAGCCTGACTATCTAACACGCAACCTAAAGCAACCACCTGTGCCAATATAACTTCATCACGACAACCCACCAAATCAATGCTATTGACTGTGGGCTGAATGCCGACATAGCCTACCATGTAAGGGATGGTGTTTAATATCCTTGGCAATTCATCTAATATAGCGTTGGTAGGAAGCAGAGGACCGACGCCCCGTGATCTCCAGTGTGGATGCTAGGAACAGATAGAGAAGCCGTTGAAGCAGCGCCGATGCCAAATGAATGGGCTGCATATAGCTCAGGAGATTTCCCACAGCGTTGGAAGAGGAGACGGAGCCGTGATGAAAACCAGTATCTAGCCATTGGTTTGCCAGCATCAGTGATAATTAATGGATCGCCCAGCGTGGCCAGTGGTCACCATTGCAGGTAGAGTAACATGGAAGAGAGGACAGAATGCAGTGTTAGTTTGAGCAGTGATACCTGGAGTACCTTCACCCTTCCTGTTAGTTTGAGCAGTGATACCTGGAGTACCTTCACCCTTCCTGTTAGTTTGAGCAGTGATACCTGGAGTACCTTCACCCTTCCTGTTGAGCAGTGATACCTGGAGTACCTTTACACTTCCTGTTAGTTTGAGCAGTGATACCTGGTGTAGGCCGTCATTGTAAATAAGCATTTGTTCTTAACAGACTTGCCTAGTTAAATAAAGGACAAATAAAAAATAAAATAAAAAATACCTTTACCCTTCCTATTGAGCAATGATACCTGGAGTATCTTCACCCTTCCTATTAGTTTGAGTAGTGATACCTGGAGTATCTTCACCCTTCCTATTAGTTTGAGTAGTGATACCTGGAGTAGGCCGTCATTGTAAATAATAAAAATAATAATATGCCATTTAGCAGACGCTTTTATCCAAAGCGACTTACAGTCATGCGTGCACACATTTTTTTTTGTGTATGGGTGATCCCGGGGATCGAACCCACTACCTTAGCGTTACAAGCGCCGTGCTCTACCAGCTGAGCTACAGAGGACCACAAATAAGAATTTGTTCTTAACAGACTTGCCTAGTTAAATAAAGGACAAATAAAAAATAAAATAAAAAATACCTTTACCCTTCCTATTGAGCAGTGATACCTGGCATACCTTCACCCTTCCTATTAGTTTGACCAGTGATACCTGGAGTATCTTCACCCTTCCTATTATTGGGGATCTGATTGGGAATCATACTTAGGCAGCCAGTTTTCCTGCCTGTATTGTGGGATCTTGTTTTGTGCTCTGTGAGTTTGGCTTGTGTGTATAGCCTTCCGACGTCACGTTTCGTTTATTGTTTTGTCAAGTGTTTATTAAATTTAAATAAACATGTATGCATATCACGCTGCGCCTTGGTCCGTCCCGTCTATGAACAACACCTGTAGAGAAAAGAACATGAGAATATAGACCAAATTACTAGATCAATGAGAATAATTTGAGACCATAATAGTTACAGATAAAACCATCTAGTTACACAGCAATAGAGAGAAACATCTAGTTACACAGCAGCATAGAGAGAAACATCTAGTTACCAGCAGCATAGAGAGAAACATCTATTACTACAGCAGCATAGAGAGAGAAACATCTAGTTACACAGCAGCATGAGAGAAAATCTAGTTACAGACAAGGAGAGAAACGCTAGTTACGACAGCACATAGAGAGAGAAACATCTAGTTTAGAACGCAAGCATAGAGGAACTGGTTAAGTGCAGCATTCAAGCACTGGAATCATCTAGTTACACAAGCAGCATAGAGAGAAACTCTAGTTACACACAATCATATCCCGAAACCACTGTTACGACAGCAGAGAAGGAGAACATCATATAACACACACATAGAGAGAACATGAGTTCACAGAGCATAGAGAAACCTAGTTACACAAGCATTAAGTGAAACATCTAGTTAACATGCAGGCATATGGAGCAACACTATTCAAGGTCACCAAGAGGAACATACCTTTACAGTTTGCAGCATAGAAGAAACTCTAGTTACACAATTAGAAGCAACATTAGTTACCCCAGCTAGTAATGAGAACGTCTAGTTCACTGCATTACGTCTAGAAAATCTACTTACACAGCAGCATAGAGGAAACATTCTACCACCCTCGCATAAAAATAATCTAAAGATTCACACACAGCTAGAGGAAACATCTAGTTCAACAGCATAAGAGAAACATCTAGTTAACAGCGCATAGAGATAAACATCTAGTCACAAGCACATAGGGAGAACTCTGTTTACACAGCAGCATAGAGAGAGAAACATCTAGTTACACAGCAGCATAGAGAGAGAAACATCTAGTTACACAGCAGTATATAAATATCTAGTTGAGAGAGAGAATGGATGAGAAGGGCGAGAGGGGGAGATATTGGAGAGAGAAAGACAGAGTCTGTGAGTTGTAGGTAAGCTACATGAGAATGGAGAGTTGGTGGTTAAGGTTGAGGATTCACAAGCACTGGAATTTTCACCAGTTAAACCTTAAAGCAGCAATCAGCAGTAAAAACAATAACAAATTATTTCCCCGCCCCTGTTTCGGTAAAAAGCTGAGGAATGGGGCTGGACAAATATAAGCACCGTTACATTCATAGACAGAGCTATGGATGCAAGGACTGACCATCCATGACATCAACATTATAGTTTGAACCATGTTATGAGGCTAGATAGTGTTTGGACACACCTACTCATTCAAGGGTCCTCATGAGAGCCAGTTTCATCATAGCGCTTGATGGTTTTTGCGACTGCACTGGAAGAAACTTTCAAAGTTCTTGAAATCTTCCGGATTGGCTGACCATCATGTCTTAAAGTAATGATGGACTGTCATTTCTCTTTGCTTATTTGATCTGTTCTTGCCATAATATGGACTTGGTCTTTTACCAAATAGGGCTATCTTCTGTACACCACCCCTTCCTTGTCACAACACAATTGATTGGCTAAAAAACGCATTCCACAAATATACCTTTAAGAAGGCACACCTGTTCTTTGAAATGCATTCCAGGTGACTACCTCATGAAGCTGGTTGAGAGAATGGCAAGAGTGTGCAAATCTGTCATCAAGGCAAAGGGTGGCTACTTTGAAGAATCTCAAATGTGAAATATATTTTGATTTTTTTAAACACTTATTTTGGTTACTACATGATTCCATATGTGTTATTTCATAGTTTTGATGTTTTCACTATTATTCTACAATGTAGAAAATAGTAAAAATAAAGAAAAACCCTTGACTGGTTCTGTATATCATTAATTTAAAAGTCCCAAAATGGATGTAGCAACTGCTCATCGTCTATTTAAAACAAGTCTACTCTGTAAGGCTAGCGTCACTGTTCAGGTAAATAAACGGTAGGGGGACTAACCTTGTTTTTGTGGTGTGTAGCACAAGTCATGGTCTTCTACACTAAATAAAGGTCTGGACTGCAATCCAATCAATCTGTCTGACGGAAACCTCTGGACTAACAGAGAGTGTGTGTGTGTGTGTGTGTGTGTGTGTGTGGCTGTGTGTGTGTGTGCACATTTGTGGGAGTGTGTGTGTGTGTGTGTGTGTGTGTGTGTGTGTGTGTGTGGCTGTGTGTGTGGCTGTGTGTGTGTGTGTGTGTGGCTGTGTGTGTGTGTGTGTGTGTGTGTCTGTGTGTGTGGGAGTGTGTGTGTCTGTGTGTGTGGGTGTGTGTGGGAGTGTGTGTGTGTGTGTGTGTGTGTCTGTGTATGTGCACATTTGTGGGAGTGTGTGTGTGTGTGTGTGTGTGTGTGTGTGTGTGTGTGTGTGTGGCTGTGTGTGTGGCTGTGTGTGTGTTTGTGTGGCTGTGTGTGTGTGTGTTGTGTGTTGTGTGTGTTGTCTGTGTGTGTGGGAGTGTGTGTGTCTGTGTGTGTGGGTGTGTGTGGGAGTGTGTGTGTGTGTGTGTGTGTCTGTGTGTGTGCACA